TAAACTGTTTTACAATGGGGCCGTGCATATACAATAAAACTACAAAGTAAACCCAAGAAAACATATATCATATAAAGATTAACAAAATAGTAGAATAACTGATGACACACGAAGAAGAGATAAATTATATGAGTTCGTTTGCATGTTTACGTAAATATAAGTTTGTTATAAGTTGGTTTTAAAACGCATATTGTAAAGAAATATCAAAGAATTTTAAACATGACATAAATATCATAAAAGATGCTGAAATATGATAAAAATATAAAGGATATACATGAAATATGGGTTTTCTAAATATATATATATGTTTAATTACGATTAAAAAACAACAATATTGGATTGCCAAGTTGTATTTAGGCAAAAAAACAAATAAGTCAATTATATTTTTAAACCTATAATATACAAGGGTGGTATAAATTAGTATTAGTACAAATATATACATACAATTTAGTGTACCTTTCCATCTCACTGTCACTTTCTGTAACAAAAATTAAAATTTGTGGAGGGGGGCATCTATTGTATTTAGCCAATTATTTCATTTCATTTCATTCAAAGGGACTCGGTAACATTGTTCAGATGAGAGAAAACGGTGCTAAAATAGTGACATCAATGCTAAATGTACAATTGTAGATAATCTAAAATATTGAGTTCAAGAGATTAGTATTAACGATAACACTAGGCACAGTCCAATGGGCATAAACAATAACTGCTATTACATCTGCGTGCAATCATGCAAGAAGCAGAGGAGCAGTAGCTTGCTGAGGTGTACTAAGCACTATAGCAATAGCGTGCATGCATCATTATGGCAGGCTATGCGCTTAAGAATGACACTTGGGAAAAGCTAATGTGAACGATTCCTAAATTCTCCCAACTATGATATCATTATAATCAAAATGAATTTAAGGTGAATGTAAATCATCACAACGCAATTAATTGGCTCTAGGTACCGTTCTTAACTATTAAGTGTTGACAGATTTTAAAAAAAACCTGTGTTATGTCTTATTTTCATTGAAAACGGTTGGAATAATTCCAAAATTGGTCGAAGAATTTACTGTCAGAGGGAGATACACATTGACGCCTCAAAGAAAATCATAAATATCTGGGGAAAATGCATATTTTTGAGGTTTCTTCTATCAGAAAAACTCGTTAATTGATTTAAAAAACACACACATAGGAGGTCTAACAATAAACAACTAAATAAACTAGTATCTCATTGAATTTATATAAGACTTAGAATTAATTCATTACAGAATTGAAGGAATGCAACTAAATTAGATGAGGAAGATATATGCTGTGAAGTTTAGTTAATCAAGAATGTAGCTCCTTCCTATTAATCTCAACATTCTTCGACAGTATTTAGATTGTGGTTTTACGACGGCTAGCTAGTTTCCAACTGAGCGAAGGTAATGTTGTGGTGTTAAGAATAAAAACATTTCATGGAAAGTTGGTGCAGTCAAGTTATGAATTGTTTTAAAGGTCAAGAAAGTCAATTTTTTCTTCGCAATTATAATGTATTATAATAAATCGCTTGATGAATTACGTGATAAGACATCTGTCGATGATGACTTTATTTTTTTGTTTCATTTATATGTTTATTTATGCATGTTCACAATTTCATAATTAATTGGAGTTAACATCAGATACAATTTAACAAAAAAAGTCAAATCAGTTTAAATTTTACAATCCATTTGAATTGACTTTACATAAAATAGAATGTAACAACGTTTTATCAAAGACAAGTTGCAACTAGTATACAGTTTAAAGAATAAACACACACAGGTGATGAAACATAACCATATAGAGCTTGAATCGTTACAACACCTTTCAAATCTATAATATATCTTGTACAGTACCCCAAAAAACGAAATCATGGGGGGGGGGGTCGATCGTAAAGTCTTCCTGTAAAGAAAACCTCATCCCAAGAAATAACTTTACTTGTTCTGAGAGATATATTATAATCTTGCCATACAATATTCCCCACTGAAGTGTATAAGAGAAGCATTAAGCAAGAATAATGTACCGTTTCTCAGCGCCACATAAGTCTTTCCATTTTCTTGATAACGTGACGTATTATGTTAAGTCGTTTATGAATGAAATGTTCTGAAATATATGAACGCCCATGTGGGTATGGTAATGAAGCATTTCGTTCACCTGTTATTATCCTCGGTACTACAATTGCCAGAACACAAATTGTACAAATAAGTTGGTGCTCTTCTGGGGTGAAACTTTCTCATGAATGAAATAGATTTTTAAACTGCTATACTCTAGTTTCTTTTAATGACTTAGTTACAATTGTTTCCCTGTTCTATATTTTCAACAAATATATTTTTTATTTTCTCAGCTATGAATTTTCCTCAATGAAAAGTAAAGGTTTTGTTGTTGATCTAAAGAAAAGTCTTTCCAATTAAAACAAGGTGCATAAAAGATCTACAACTGCAACTAATACGTCACATTTTCATGAAAATGGCTGCGCCCATGTCATGCTAAAAGGCATTACATCATGCCAAGAATATCTTCATTTATATATATCTTGTACATTTTCGTAAGGAATATTGTACATGACAGGGTAGGAATGCATCTCATTATTCAGTATGCCAACACTTGTTCTTTGGGGGTGAGTATCCATTAAAACTTACCTGTTCAAAAATGCCTTTGATTAATTAAATATTCCACATTTCATCTTTGTATTCATGTATATATCCTCATTTATGTCTACCTATATCTTTGATGTACACTGAAATTAAATAATTCATGCGCTCTGTATTAAAAGATTAAATACTAAGTCTAAATACAGTTTTTTGTTTATGTATACTCTCAACGTCCTGAGCATTTCTGCAAAATTGATATGGCGATTTACAAATATGATTAATAAAGATGAAGTTGAGTTCTGGTCATGCGATTGCATTGTGAAAGAAACGGTGTGGAATCGACCAGAAAAGGTTGATCATCTAGCACATAAAAATTCGTGTGTATTGCAAGGTTCTGGAATCATCAAAATGATAAAAAATTGGGCCAAGTCTTGGTAAAGTTACAAACACTGTACACAGAAAGATGTATAATTATGGGACTACACGAACACGTGGCGTAAAAATCCTACCCTGGATTTTTACGATGTTACATGACATATTTAGAATATTAGAAAATGATGGCCTTTCAAAAAATTAGCTTGAAGGCTTTGGGTATTAATGATAACAAGGCGATTTTTTAACGCTCATAATAATTAATCTTTCTAAAAAATATTCGGCAAAAAATTGCCCAACTTTTACCAAACATGAGGGCGATTATGTGTCCAACCAACTGTTGGGTAAATTAAAGATTTTGCATGATTTACCCAGTGTTGGGTAAAAAGAAAATACCCAACTTGTAACCAACAAAAATTTACCCAATCAAAAATTCACCCAATTCTCACCATAATGTGTAGCTTATATTAGATACTAGTAGGACAAATAAGTTGGATAAAATATTACATGCAAAAGGACATAAGTGCCGCGGCGGAACTCGAACCGCGGACCGCGGGATCCGCAGTCGTGTGGCATATCCACTCGACCACGACACCTCTAATTTAAGGGTATACCCTTATTGTTGTATAATAATGTTGCCCGACTTACGTTTGCCTAGTTACATCTGCCCAACTTATATTGAAGATGTAATTGGGTAAGTACATGTAGTAAATGATTGGGAGAAAATAACCCAAATGTTGGACAAAAATGGCCCAACTCTAATTTGCCCAATAACATTACCCAATTATTTCATCGGTTACTACATTGTTGGTAGGAAATAACCCAATTGTTCGACGACAATTTCCCAACATCGATTTGCCAAGTAACACCTACACAACCTATTTTTTACCTTTCATGACGTAACTTCATATAGTAAATGGTTGGGAGAAAATAACCAAATTATCTGACAAAATTTGCCCAACTTCGATTCACCCAGTAACATCTGCCCAACTTTTTTAACAGTGTATAGGCGGTATGGTGACAAAATGTGATTATCACCAATTTCTCCTTCAATCGTTATACCAGTAGGCCCGAATTCACAAAGCAAGGTTTGAGCTCAAACCTCCTTTTGTTTCGCCAAACCTCCTTTTGTTCTTTACAAACCAGGTTTGTAAAAAACGCGTAAAACGGGTCATATGACGTACGAAAACCAAGGTTTGTCGACAAACCTCCTTTGTGAATTCGGGCCATAGTGTTCTCAACAATTAACTCGCCAACAAAAGTCGTGTTCTCATTCATAGAACGAGCATTTCGGTGATTGACGCGTAACTGAGGAGCGTTACACGTAGTTCTTGCTGGAACAGGATGTTGTGTTTAATCAGCAGCAAGGAATCATAATGGTGTAGAAAGCGGAGTGTTGGCTCAGTCAGTAGAGCGTCCGCCTCACAACCGGGAGGTCGTGGGTTCGAACCCCGGCCGCGTCATACCAAAAGACGTTAAAAGATGGGAAGTTGTTGCTTCCTTGTTTGGCGTTCAACAATAAGGGATATAGCAACGTCGATCTGGCGCTGCTCAGTGGCTGCCGGGCTCACGATCAATTGGGCAAAAAGATTTAAAGGTTTAATACAATTTGGAGTGGACTATTAGGCTATTATTATTATTAGTATTATTATTATTATTATGTGGGAAACTATTACATTGCTGGCCCCAGGAAACAACAAAAGTAACACAGAAGAAGGATTTAAGCCACCCCATTATTCTTGTCATTGACCTTCACTCAGACAGTATAAGATGTGGTCAATGGAGGTCGAGGCTGAGTGAACATGAATCCATGTAACATTACACGTACAATGTAAGTTCAAAGGCTGCATACAGTGACTTTTTAATCAGCGGCTGAAAATGTTGCACCTTCAAATGTAAGAACATGATATGGAGGTATCCTGTCGGACCGTGGTAAACTTGAAGAAGAGACTGTTGACGTTCGCTATTAAACTTTATTATCAATCCAAAGAAATAATATACATCAAAGAGAGCCTGCGGGAATAGGCAGCTTATCAGGCCTCACACACCATCCAAGTAAAAGTTCTCAGCCCTTTCATACACAGGCATCTTTGCAGTTTTGCCTTTGGCTTTGGCATTCTGTCCCCACCAGAAGTATTCTCTGTCAACGCTGATGAGTTTCTCGGAGGCATCTAAATTGGAATGCTGCATCATCTCGTAAACCAGTCGACAAATCTGCGTTAATAAAAAGAAAATTATCTTTATTATGTTTTTGTAGTTGCATAGGGCATTTTCGTGCTATTACTTGACAATTTAAAAAAAAATTAAAAAGAAAAAATGTTGATTGTTTAATAGTTTTTGAACGGTCACAACTGTCCGTTTGTGATTTGGGATTCGATATCGATACGTAGTTTTGTGAGATGTGGGAGACCGAGCATAAGAGGAAAAATAGGATTGTGAATTGTGCAAATTGTTCACGTTGTTGAACGAAAATGGTGACCTACTGACTGAGAGTTCATTGTTTTCTAACTAATAAAGAAGGCAGGGAAAAACAGGAAAGCTTTTGAAGACTGGACGTCCTGGTGTGCTGCAAACTATGTGTGTGAGTTCTGGGCACATAAGGCGGTTATATCACAAGGCACTAGCTGGGCATGTATGATAATGAGGCACCTTATTCAAGGATTGAAGTTGCACATTTTGGTGTTAATTGTTTCTCGACTGCTCGCCAGTAACCGAGGTGAATTCCTGTATTCAAGATTTTTGCACTACTTCTTGCAGGGTTGAAAGTAGCTTATCCAACTTGTAAGAAGGAACCTATAACTCCAGACATTCTAAACAAGGTACGGTTATTCCAATTCTTTTAAGGATGCCAGACTGTGCGTTATGACGCAGTTAGCTTTTTAATATGCAGGCCTTTTTAGGCATGCTGAGCTAGTGGAGGTCAGAGTGTGTGATATCTGTGTACATACTTCACATGTCAAATGTTTCGTTCAGCATAGTACAACTGACCAATATCGAGAAGGTGCCTGGGTAATCTTTGCTGCAATAGCCAAACCAACCTGACCGGTTGCTATATTGAATAATATCCCCAAGCCCCTAATTGAATCATTCCAATCAACAGGTATTACACTTTAAAGTGACCCACCCCTCCCCCTAAATGATAGTAATAACGATGATAACAATAATAATAATACGAAGAAGGAATAGACATAATGTAAGACACGCCTTTTCAAGTTGATCGAAATAAAAATGAATAGGTAGATGAGTGAGTTCAAGAAAGAATGATTAAATGAATAACAATGATAGCATAACATGAAAGAGAAAATCGTCGAAATTGAAGAAATACATACATTTGAAGAGCAAGTGCAAACCACAAAATCCGAACGAGCCAGAAGATGTAGGTCTACGATGATACCCATCAAAGATTCCTCTGACCATCTTACTCTCACTCTCGCTGACTGAGATATATTATTGTCGCTCACAAACACATATCCAGGATATCTGTCAAAGAATAAAATCATGTTGCAATTTACTTATCAGCGTTGTCGTAGTCGTCTAATGGTTTAGACCATGATTGGCCAACCCGCGGTCCGCGAGCTCTTCTGGTGCAGCCCGCGGAGCTTTGAAAAAGTAAAAATAAATAAAGCTCATGAATGAAATGCGGTCCGCTTAGCATCGATGAAATAGGGTTAAAAATTTACACAAAGCTATCTCTATTTCCATAATTTGTTTTCACTAGTCACAACATATTGACTCGTTACTTGGTTGATACAAAAACTCAATACAATTAACGACATTAACATCACTCGCCGTGTTAATTTCAGTTTGTAATTTCCGCACGCAGTAATGTTTGTAAATATACAAATGTTGTGAATCGAGAAATATGTTTCAAATGACTTGACATATTAGTGACCGGTCTGACTTGCTGAAACTCTTCCATCAAATGCAACCCCAGAAATCACTCTAGAAAGTAAGCCTGATTTTTTTTTTCTCACTGATTTTGTTGTTTGCTTGTTTGTTTTTTTGCAAAATTGCAGGTGTGTACACGTATCGCATGAGAGTGTGTGTGTGGGGGGGGGGGGAGGGGTGGGGGAAGAATACTTACACTGTGAAAAGGTTGGGCAATATCTTTTAAACACTTTGCCTAACGTTGTGCCAATAGTCAACCCAACAATCTATTTGGCAATATTTTGCCCAGTGGTATTGGTAAACGTAAGTACCGTTCTTCACACGTGCATAATTGTTTCGTATTTTGACTAACATTTCGGCAAAGATATGACCCTTCAACTGCCCGACTACGGTAGCCCACTGGTTGGGAAAATCTTGACCAGCTGTTGGGCAAAATACGAACATATTGCCCAATAGATGGTTGGGTTGACTATTGGCACAACGTTGGGCAAAGTGTTAAAAACATTGCCCAACTTTTCCACAGTGTACGGCCCACCAAGTTATGTCTATTTTGAGCTGTGGCCTGCTAGCTTTAAAAGGTTGGCCATCCGTGGTTTAGACAGTAGAGATGCGAAGGTCACGGGATCTAAGCCTGGCAAGGAACTTCATAAAATGCTTGTGAAAATGTGATTTATTCGACATATGCAATTTCATATCTTCGTAGAACTTTATTGATCAATCTCTATGAATGTTTAGATTGATCAATAAAGTTTGGAGAAGATAGAAACATTATCTATTATCGATAATAGATCATATTGTCACAATAACTTCATTAAAAGAGGTAGAAGATAATTTATTCCAAATTCATGGGCAATAACGTATTCCCCTTTCAAAGCAACATCCATTTTTCCAAAATTGCTTTCTCCTCCCGCGTGTTAATCGTGAGCCAGAAAGGATGCAAAAGTACTTTTTTTTTTTTACAGAATGGTGAGCATCTCAAAAAGGCGCTTGGCTGTAATGCTTCCAGGAGACTGGGGAATTCTAATACACACCTCAGCGTCTACATTGTGAGCGATCTAGTCTGAATCCGATGACAGGAGTGAATAATAATAATAATACTACTAATAATAATAATAGCCTAATAGTCCACTCCAAATTTTATTAAACCGAAACAGAAATTCTTTTTGCCCAATTGATCGTGAGCCCGGCAGCCACTGAGCAGCGCCAGATCGACGTTGCTCTATAACGCCAAACAAGGTAGCAACAACTCCCATCTTTTATTTTATTTTATTTTTTTATAATTTTTTTTTTAATGATTTTTGTGATAATTTTTTTGGGGTGAGAATTATTTGTTTTTCGTGTTTTTTGATTATTATAATCTTTTTAAGAAAAAAAAAATCTTAATTTTTTTTTTCTTTTTTGTCTTCAAAGTTTACAGTTTAATGTGCACCGACAATTTTTTTTTTTTTGCGTCCGGTAAAAAAAAATTACCGGACGCATGATTTTGCCATGCATCCGGTAAATCTGTAAAATAACAACATTTTGTATTTTTGACAATTTTTGGGGCCCTAACTTATAAAACAGATGATGCACAGGTTTAATTAGTGGGTCGGTGGAATTGTGTGCACGTGGTACCTTTGAATTTGGTCTAAAACCATTCAAAGGTACCTTGTGCACACAATCCCTACCGACTCACTCAAACCTGTGCATCATTTGTATACTCTTCACTTTCGAAATGGAAACAGTTTTGTTTATTCATTGTCAATACTAATATGTATTGTTGAAATGGCAATTCATAATGCTGGATTGAAGACATAAAGAATTTTTTTTTTTCTTTCATCTAGTCAAAAATAAGAAGTTTAAGTATATGTATGAACTCAATTTTACAATATGGCCTTAAGCCACGAAGGCTGTCCTAAACTCACTTCTTCTTGGCTTCATAGAGTAGACCGACATCGTCTGTTGCTAAGAAGACTCTCCTGACGTTCACTGCTTGTCTCTTCTCCAATTGCTGGTAGTATTTCTCCACATGGTCCATATACTCCTCGATACCATGAAATTTGGCTTCCATGTCGAGTTTATCTGTCCGCCTGACATGAATGCTTTTTTGGGGGGATGGGGTAAAGATTATTGTGAAAGCCATATCAACAAGATGCTCGAAAGAACTCTACCCCTCAGCTCGTTTTTTCTGACTGTTTAAGCTTAAAAAAAAAATACATTTCATGTTATAACAGGTCTTTATCAATGCGACACGTACATTTCTCTATACTGTGTACTATTTGGCGATATATGTTATTGTGTGATATAAATTTACCGATGTTAAAAGGTAGCTTAAAACTGTCTAATCCGTTCGATTATTTATGTGTTAAAATTTAAGAATAAGAAGAAAAAAATGCCCGACATTGCATGCATGCCCACTGTTTACACACTTTCATTTGCAGTGTACAATTACGAATTAAAAAATGTGTTTCCAGACTAGTAGTAGTAGATAACAGGCACTTGGCAGATTTACGTATAGAGCTACTACTTGGTTAGCGCTCATGTCTGTCAAACCTAAAACTCCTGGCGCTCCACAATCATTACCCCGGCTTTAAGGCCGGCTCACATAGTAGCGGCAAAGAGCCCGCGAAAGGCGACTGGCGTGAAAATTACAACATGTTGGCGGTAAAGCAAAAGGGGAAAATCAAATTTCGCTGACGGGTGGGAAGACCTTCAGCGACCACACGACGGCAAGGGTCAAATGGCTGCGGCAGAGAACGGAGTCTAGCGACCAAAATAGGACGTTGTCTGGGCGGCGAGTGACGACGTCTCGACGGAGCCCGTCAACAAGGAGGCTGGCAGCGGATTGGCTGGCGGCCAGGAACGGCGGCTGACAGTGGGTTGCGGCGACGATGACGTGACTCAGCGGCCGACATCAAAGCCTGTGTGTGTGCGGGTCACTGACGTCAAAAAACGTGAAAAATCGCACTGAAAGTTGAAAATCGTGGACCATCGTTGCAAAATCGTAACCCATCGCAGATCGCCGTTGCAATGCCGCAGGTAGTCGCAAACGACAAGCCGTCAACAGTCACCAACGAGATGTGAGGTTACTTGCCGTTGTTTTTGCCGTCAAGGATCGTGACAAACACAACGACTACCAACGAAATTGTGACGACCTCAAAACAACTAGAGACGGAATCGCACGGCATGGAAACGTCTAGGAAATGAGGATTACCGTCTTTAACGAAATATGAACGGAATCACAACAATTTTTGTTGCTGCCATAATAATTATGCTGATTTGGTTAAACTTTATTATAGCGCGAATTAGGCGAAACATAGCTTCATGTTAGCTCGAGCAAGCAGCATACATCCAGCTACATATGACAGCCTAACCGTAGGCGGAGATAGGCCCTGTATTGTAGAGGGGATTTCATTCATAAGTCCCTCTAGCGTTCTAAAGTGGAAAGTCTTGTTGTTGTTTTTAAAGTGGATATACACGTCGTGCATTACCGCTAGCCTGAAGCACCAAATAGGATTCCTGCCGACACATGTCATGATAAGTTTGAAGAGTAATAATCAATGTATTATTTCGTTCATTTTCTGACCAAATGTGATGTATTTGTGCAAAGTTATGTTGCTTTAAAGAAGGGTTTATTGAAGTTTTTTGTTGTTGCATGCCCTCAAACTTTGCTGGATCCTGACCCATATTAAACATGGATTAAATACATTTTATGTGCACTTGAAAGCCAATATTGTGGGGCAAATGTTGAAACCAAATTTATTTGGGCTCAAAAATCGAGTTGTTTTCAAAGTTTTTACCTTTGTAAAATAAAACATTTTTTAACGTGAAAATTGAATTATTTACAGGATTCGTATAATGAATATTTAAGTAATATTGACTGACTTCTGGGCAATACGACATATATCGCCCGAACCGAAGGTGAGGGTGATATATGACAAGTCGTATTGCCCTGAATTAGGCAGTCAATATTACTATTATTAACCACATCAGACATCTAGAGCAAACAAGAAACTCTTACTATCTTATACTCTTAAATTATGTAGGCTACACAGGGTTTCCTACCATTAGAAGTCGCAAAAACATTGTCAAACCAGCACTGTTCATCCAGTGTTTGACAGATTTTCGATACACTGCAAACAGTTTGCCTAGGGTGTGATTGTTACGTCACAATGGAGTTCGCGCAAAGTGCGCATTTTTTAATACACGATGCGCGATGTAAATTACAACTGGCACTACATTATTGCGCACTAGTTTAACACGCATTTTGCCATTGACTTTTCAGAGCGGGCTAAAATATTTGTCCATTGACTTACTGTATAACCTATATTGCCCGCCAAAATACACACAAATCCCATTGACTCTTCTGAGCGGGGTAAAATATTTGCGCATTGGTTTTCTGTATAACCTATATTGCCCGCCAAATTACACACAAAATCCCATTGACTTTTCTGCGCGGACTAACTTATTGTAATTTTGTTGACTTATCCATCAAACCTTGAGTGCAATAACATTTAAAAATTGCCCTGCTCAGATGTCTGATACGGTTAATAATCTTAAATATTAAATAAATCCAGATATTTACTTTGATATTGCATGAAACAGAGCGCAAAAAAGTAATAAAATGAAGGAAATATCGTCGTTTCAAAATGTGCCTTCTCGGAGAGCTTTACGGTATGAGTCAAACCAGTCCGAGGACGCCGTATTAATAAAATAGACGTGTTTTTGCACTCTTGCCTTTAGGCTGATTATAGCGAGTTTTCGCTCAGCGACGGACAGACCTTCTACGACGAGGTAGACCACAGACCGCCCTCGTTACAATAAACGATTTCATTTTTCACCGGCAACGCACAATAACTTTGCAATGCAATGACAATGCCCTGCCACGCAATACAGTACAGACGCGACTACACGACTAGCACAACTTCTCTCGACCAAGCCACAAAACGTTTTTTTTTTATCATATTTCACCGATTCATCATTCAGTTTTAAAACAATTCATGTTATAACCATATTTATGTTGTTACAATGAAGAAACAATAACCAAGAAGAAAAATCACCTAAGACCCGTTAGCGCTGAAATTCGTCATCCTTTTTCCGTCCCCTGATGTTATCATCGCATGCAATAACAAATCTTTGGTACAAGCTTGCTGATTGGCTGTAGATTCACCTGAACGTCCGTAGATTCTAAAGGCCAAAAACCGTTTTGAATTTCAGTACCACAGCGGTCACTCCGCTGTTATATACTATGGTAGCTTCTCGATTTTGCACACGAACCGCAGATTCTCTGTCCGCGTCGAGCTTGCGAAAATTCCGTTATGACACCGAATTGTGCAACGACATGCAGCGACTAATTTTTAGGAGCTTATGCACGCCGTGTTAATACACTTTGAGACCTAAAAGGGACTTGGTACCATTGTTCAGATGAGAGAAAATGGTGCTAAGGTAGTGACTTCAATGCTAGATGTACAATTAAAGGTTATTTGAAAGTTTGAATGAAAACAGACCCTTAATAATGATACAAATTTGGAAAAACTGATCTAATCGATTCCTTAATTCTCCCAACTATATTATCAGAATTTAATACAAAAATTAAGTGAATGAAAATCATCACAAACAATGAATTGGCTTTACATGTATATACCATTCCAGACACTGAAGAATTAAAATATTTGTAAAAGCCTGTCTTACGAGTTATTTTCATAGGAAAACGGTTGGGAAAATTCTAAAATGGTTGGGGGAATTTACTTTTAGAGGGAGTCACACAGTAACGCCTTTAAATAAAAAACATAAATATCTTTGTGATTTCAGAATTTTCCAGAATCGTTTGCATGGTAGAGGGTTAGTACAGTGGAAGGGATATAATTAGGAAGTAACATTGCATACAAAAATTACGCAGTTTTTTCATCAACCTTCAACAATATTACCGACTCACTTTAACATTCGGGTTCTAGGACAAGAAAAATTACCCTCTGGGCAATCACCCCCGGAAAAATACCCCCGTAAAACTACCACCAAGAAAAATCCCTCCCCCCGTAAAATTACCCCCCCCCCCGAGGACAACTACTCCTGGGGTAGTTGTCCTCGGTGGTAGTAGTCCTCGGGGGTAGTTTTCCTCGGGGGTAATTGTCCTCGAGGGTAGTTGTCCTCGGGGGGTAATTCTCCGGGGGTAATTTTCCTGGGGGACTTTCCTTGAGGGGTAATTCTCCGTGGGTAATTTACAGGGGCGATAATTGTCCTTGGGGGTAGTTTTCCGGGGGATATTTTCCGGGTGGTGATTGCCCAGGCGGTAAGTGTCTTAATACGTTACATTCGTCTCACCCAACGATCGGATGTGTGAATCCCAAGGCAGTTGCCTTTTTGTCAATGAATTCTTGGGTTTGAGGCTGAGGTCTCAGAATGTAGGTAAAGATCTGTCCTATCCACCAGACGAGGGGTTTACTGTGGACCCTCCTCAGTCTCTCCGAGATATCTTCTGGAATCGCCAAGGGCAGGAAGTCAGGTATTTTGTTTGTTTTAGCAAACTGCCTTACGAGGGGGAGTTTCACCACTTGAATGCTTTCATTTCCATTAGGAGCTGTTGATGAAAAACAGGGTAAATGCATTCAGTTGATATATTTGTACCAATTTTTAATTCATATTATATATTTTCCAAATTAATTTTGATTTTTCACTATCAAGTGTCATATGATCGATTTACTAAATCTCCATATCATAACGCTACTTAATTTACCTGGGTGTGCTGTTTGTCATTGTACTATAAGTATAACAATTCATAATTAGTGTACATTAAATTGGTAAGTCAAAATTTCTGAGTTGACCACGAAAATAAAGGAGTAATTGAATTACTTAAAAGTAAAAAAAAAAAAAAAAGTAAATTGTGTCTTATACTATTCTAAATACCTGGGTATATCTTATTAATTGTTGGAAATATTTATTTGGTCCAATAATCTAAGATATTTTGCTCCTTGTGACCGGATGATCCTGCTACTTGCAGTGTCCGCTGCAGTACGCTGCAGTCTGCTGCATCCGGCTACTTGCAGTGTCCGCTGCAGTCTGCTTCATCCTGTTACTTGCAGTGTCCGCCGCAGTACGCGAGATAAGTTGTAGAGAACCTAACCCGGAGGAAATGATTGGCTCTGGGCACTGTTTCATAAAACTTGATACCGATAGCAAGTTACAAGCTATAGTTATTAGCTAATGGAATCATGACATGCGATTGGCTGAGAGAATTTTTCTCATAGAAATTTAGCATTTGTTTATAGATAACAACGTTTTATGAAACGGGCCCCTGGTTCTGTGCAGCTGAACAATTTTAGGCAGGTTTTTTCGAACTTATCATTGTGAGTTGCGGATGTATGATTCTGGGAAATAGATGAAATTGGAGACAAGGGAACTGGGATAAATTTTGAGTGTGAACTTAGTATTTCTGCAGGCACAGGCCCAAGGCCAAGCCAAAGGAAAAATGTTCTAACTATAAAACTATGACCGTAGTGGCTAAGGCCGTCGGTATGAGCCTTACTTGCTGCTTGGGTCAAAGCCATTATATAACGGTCATTAGCGCCAATAAGATATACCTAAATGAATGACTTGCACTCGACACACTCGTAATTTCAAGTTTAACCCGTTGACTACTGAATTATCTAATTCCTATAGTCTTAACAAAGGGACCACCAGGTTCCAGTAAGCAATGGGTTAAAGGATTTACGTACTTAATTTTGTGGAAAATTCACAAATTAAGGTTTTCATATGTGCTTCCACGCCGTACAAAACCCGAACAAAAAATAATGTAGAAAATAAAAAAATTACTTTACCTTGTTTTCGCGATAATTTGTGTGACTCCAGTCAAAGAATCCAAATGGATTCCATCACGACATTCTCATCAAACACGACATTGCCACCACACCACACACGACCTTTTATCTTTTAGGCTTGAACGGATTTTTGTCGTTTATCGCCTAGCATGACGTGTCGTTTGTTATGTTTGATGTGCAGTGATTGAGTCCTGCGTTTAGTCTATGTGTGTGATTTATAGGAAGACTACATTACTAAATTTATGTTAATGTTTATCATGTCAATATGACTCTCACTGAACTTTTTCTATAATCATAATTAAATGGTTTTCATGAGGCAAAGGAAAATGTTACAGAAATTGATTTACTACTTCATTATGCTATATTTGCAATTTATAAAGCGAGTGTTGTAGCAGCGAAATTAATAAGCAAACATTTTTTGTTCATGTTAAAATACAGACTAAAAGTAGAAGAAAATAAAACTGAGACAACAGATGTGAATACTAATGAGGTGATGAAGATAATTACTGATTTACAGGAAATGCACGTACAATTTGCTTTCAAGTAAATACAGATAAATAATTTGATCTCATTTAAACATGTGATTTTAAAGTACTTGTTATACATATTTATGTTTGATGTTTTCCGTGATTTTGTATCTGAATAAAGATTTATTTCAACAACAAAAAATAGTAATATTAATAATAATTAGATCGCGTAAGTCGCTGAAACCATACTCATTTACAAAATCATCGTTATCATCATCGTCATCATCATCGTAATCATTATCATCATCGTCATCATCATCGTCATCATCATCATCACCACCATCACCATCATCATCATCACCATCATCATCACCATCATCACCATTATCATCATCATCATCATCATCGTCATCATCATCGTCATCATCATCATCACCACCATCACCATCATCATCATCACCATCATCATCACCATCATCACCATTATCATCGTCATCATTATCATCGTCATCATCATCGTCGTCATCATCATCATCATCGTCATCATCATCATCATCATCAACATCACCACCATCATCATCATCATCACCATCATCATCATCATCATCGTCATCATCATCATCATCATCTTCATAATTATTGTTATAATAATAATTATTATTATTATTATTATTATTATTATTATCATTAGTATTATTACTATTGATAGTAGTATTAACATTTTATTTGTATAAATATTATCAGGTACAGTTTAATTTTCCGTTCCAGTATACCTACTTGGCCACTTATTGTAAGCTGTGGTCTCTCCTTGTTTATCAAGGCAGTTCTCACTGAGAGGGCGAAAGAATTTGTCCCATCCCCCCGGGGAATAGACCCATTTCAAGGAATTAAGGATGAGGGTTCTCTCACTGCCGTATGCCATAATCAGGCAGAACGACAAATGGTGAACACCGGATCCGAAGCCGACGCGATTGTTGAAATCACACACAATCTTCTTGGCTTTTCTGCAATCTGGAGGATTCTGGTGAAAAAGATAGGGACGATAAAATCACAAAGTATTGATCTAAACACGATCAGAACGAATTGAAACAATATCTAACTATTTCAATAACCTATTGTATTGCCCTCCATGTTCACATAAAGGCATTATACTGTTCGCTAATTTCATATGTGAACGTCATGTGTCGCCTTAATATTGCCCTTTTTTCTTTGACAATTTTTCTGATGACAGCTTCATTTAAATAAATACATGTATCTCTTGTTAATTTTGATGGAAACAAATGCCTCACTACATCTCTGCCTATTACTTTACCTGAAGGAAATGGAGTCTTTGCTGTATAAGATTTGAGAGCGTCATTAACTCATCTTGTTTCCACGATGAATTTCCATCCACTTGAGTCAGAGTGGCGTTAGCCGACAAGATGTACCTAGGTGGAAATACAAAATATGAAACAGCCGATGAAAACACACTTTTCCTTTAAAGGTACTATGTCCCATTTGCAGGCCGAAAAAATGAAAAAGTTAAATTCCAACTGCATTTGAAAGATAATACTAATTTAGAACTTCCCTAAAAAAGGTGGGGCTTGAAAATGTCTTCAAGTGGGAAAATAACGACTATTAGTTGTCAAGTCGACTTTAGGGCTATAGAGCCCAAAAGTACTAGTGTTGATTTTCAGACAATTGTACCGAATGGTCATACGTTTTATGCTGCGCAAAGATTCAATCAGTTTAATCTTGGCCATCACAAGAAGTGGGTTATTGATGTAGACAAATGCTCATGTACCCTTTACAACTCTTTTCATTTATGTTATTACCAAGGAAGAAAAAAGCCAGTCAGTCACTCAATAGTGTCTGATAGTGAAGTCTAGCAAGTAAACGGGTTTCCTTGCATAATTTGAATATGAGGACACTGCTAATGTTTAAATTTCACAGATAGGACATACATGACATATTCATAATTCCTGCAAAGTTCTACAGAATTTGAGGTTGGCTGCAAAAGGGACATAGTACCTTTAATAGAAAGACCAACCAATGAATAAAATAACAACGATTTTTTTTTTTCTTTGTGCATTAAAGACCACATTCATTCAGAAAGAGTCATCAAGTTCAGGTTAAAGGAACGGAAAATGATAAAAGCTTGAAATAATGCGTGGTCCAAGGAAACCAAATACTTTGATTTAAGTTATCTATAGGAAACAGACTGTTTTTCTTTAAACTGATGCCCAAGTAGAGTTTATATAAGGACAGTCCATTTTGGAAATAGCTTTTTTCTCTGTCTGTCTCTTCTCCCCTTTCTCCCTCTTTTGCCGGTTTTCGTGCAATTATTTAATAATTCACGGTAGCAGAAGTTGAGTTTGGCAGGAGGGATGGGGGGGGGGGGGCTGGATAGTGCTTCGTTCCTAGATCTGCCATTAGATATCAAATAGATAGAAAGAAAGAGGATGGGCAAAATAAGAGAAGAGACGATTACTTTTGTTCTTGGGAAGGTTTTATCAGGCTCATGTACAGTTGACTGACGTTGGTGAGCTCCGGGCGAGGGGATTCCTGCTTGGAAGACTTCATTCGCTGGATATACCGAGGAGATGTTTCTTGGTCAAATAGGATGAAAATGCTGATAAGCAATTCTAGCGTAATCGTCAAAAACAACTTGTAGAACGTATCCATGATCTCGACTTTCCTTTCCTAGACAACCAAAGCTTTTTCTGCTTTCTGCATAATAGATTAAGATAATAACATACACAGTGTTAAATTAATCTGTTTCACAAAAACAATGTCAAAGGTAGTAGACATTTCAGTTCTCTCGAAAACCGAAGATCGTTTTTCTCCTCGTTCTCCTCCTTCTTGTATTATTCTTCTCCTCTCCTTTCACCCACAGTTTGAAGGAGTATTGTCGTACCTCAAACATACTATTTCGTTTTTGATAAATAGCTATAAGTGCACTAAAATTGCTCAAAATTCACTAAATTTGACCAGGCTGAACTGACATCTTAGAAATTAGAGTTTAGTAAACTAGAATGATTGACTTATAGCTACCAAGAGATGGGTGTATTTCACAATGAGGCCGTGGCGCATTCCTATGTGCATCACCCTATACTCTCTAAAAAAAATCGAGTGGTCACGGACGTCACTCCTCTGGAGAGTGAATATGTAGTGAAAATAGAGTGAACATTCACTCTTTTCTTCTTAGAGAGCACTCTAAAATCAATAGATTTTCACTCCTTAACAAGTGATCACGGACGTCACTCCCAAGAAAGTGAAAATAGAGTGACAATTCACTCTTTTTTTTAAGAGAGTAAATAGTAGAAGTTAGGGATGGTCGGTCCGTATACGATAACTATGATAACGAAATTCCGGATAAAAGGTAGGCCTACACCCTACTAATATGTGTTTGGTGTTAGTATGCTAACATACATCAGCTTACCCACACAAGCCCAATATAAATGTTGAATTCAATTTCACAAATTAAGCAATGCTTAATGATAGCGTATATACGCGGAATTTTAATTATGCTAATTATATAATTTATGTATTGCAGTTACAACATAGATGTAAATATTCCTTACTACATTAAACAATGACATACTACATGGATAAATACTGGTTGAAAAGTAACTCGATAGGTAGCAATGAGAAAGGTGACAAGTGTAAGGAATTTGCGTTTATTACAAATCTCGTATATCATAGTTCAGGTCTAAAGGCTCATGTTTATAGCTGCCTTTGCCGATTGAGTAACAAAGTGCTAATGTAATATTCACTTGTCGTCCAGTAGAGCCCGGGCATGAGC